CTTCCTAACAGCATTTAAGGGACATAAAGGGCCATTATTATCGCGTTCTCGTTCGAAATATTGTAAAAAGGATGCGATTAGTCTTTGCAACGGCTGTTAAGCTGCTTCGGCATCTTGTACACTTCGCAATACAAGCTGATTTAAAAAAACAAGGTCACAATTAATAGCACAAACAAAAAACTCGTAAACTGCCAAAATGCAATCAAAATGTCAAGAATTTAATTTGGCAACGTTACAGTTTTTGAAGTGGTGTTACCAACTGAATGGCCAGCGGGAAATTCAAATTCCAATTAAGTCAATCCGACGCCGAATATTTTCACGGTTGGCGATAACGATTTTAAAAATGGAGTCATCGATGTCACAACAACAAGTTTATTTGGTATGAACTATATAATGATAATTTTCATTAAATTCACTACATTGGCTCCAACTATCAAAGTATTTTTGTTTTAATTGCTCAGCACGCAAAAAATCGAATAAAAGATTTGAATTCACTTTTAACTTCTCAACTTGTCAATATAGTCAATTAAATCGCGAATTTAATTTGGTCCCGAGGCAGAAATAAGGAAAATAAATTTTTAGAGGAGACTCAAATCACTGCCAATTTCTACTCTCCTTTACTTCTAAATGTAAGTGTAATTTTTAACTTTTAATTCTTTATTCTTAATTTTTAATTGTCTCTTCTTCTCATTGTAATCTGTTTAAATAGTATTGGATCCCACCATAAATTTCCTAAGGTTATCTCCACAATGACCCCTGCACCTGCGTGTCCTAATTTAGTATTCATCGGAGAAATGTTGCAAGAATTTAGTTCCGGTTTCCGCTACTCAAAAACGCCGACAGCGCGTGAACACAATTAAACAAGTTAGCCTTGTAATTAATGCCGTTTGGTGTTTAGATTTATGAGTTAATATAATAGGTCAAGAAATCTCGTCTCTTTCGGTTGCGTAATTTAGTTCATTCGGACCACTTTCGGTAAAGATAACTGATGAGTATTATAGAGGGGGGGTCCGTATGATAATTGTTGGATTAGATTTTGACCTTTATCGCTAGCTTCTGCAGCGAAACAGAGATAACTACGCTAAATATTATTTTAATTTGAACTCAGAGCATTCCAATTGAGACTATTGAGAGTATTTTACTTACTTTATTTCTTTCCAATTATAATTTTGATTATTGGAATAAACTTTTTTGATTTAATTGAAATTTAATTGAGGTAAATGATAATTGCCAAAACTATTTTTCCGAAAATTACCCTTAATTACTTTTTAAATGAAACCATCCCCCCCAGTGGGAATTTGTGAGTCATATATTTTTTTGTTGGTATTGCCATGTAGTTTAGGGTTTTAGTTGTTTGTCTCATGCCAATTACAGCATATCCCTGAAAAATGTGAAAACCCGCGAAAATAAGGAAAAATGGATTTTTTAAAATCTATTCACATTTCAATGAAACTTTTCAGTGGAGAAGGGGTTTTTATAAACTAATATTGTAAAGGAATTCTTCCCTTAGTTTTTCATGGTTTTTCTATTGGGAAAATAAAATTATTAAATTTTCCATGTTTTTTTTATTTGTAAATCTGAAATTCAAAAATAAATAAAAGCAAACGAATCAGAGAATTCCAAAGAGCAGCATCTGTAATCAATAAGTTTCTTCTTCCTCTTCATCGTCCTAATGTGGTACATACATCGGTAAAGTTAACTAGCTCTGGCTCATCTCCATCTTCAAACTCATCTGAATGATAGCTTTCCATTACATCGGTTAGTTTGGGCGCCAACGATTCCCCTTTATCTTGCCATGTTTCACTGTACTTGGTGTTATGGGCTTAGCGACGTGGGCATTATTCCATATGTAGCACTGGTAGTTTACACGACTGATGAGGTTTTAAAGTGAAGCTTTGAAAGGAGGTAGTGAACTCAATTCAACACCTTGTGTATTTGGCAATGCAGAGATCACGGTGGAGAGTATTATTGTGTGAACAAATCGTAGCTTCTTAATATCTGTGTATTACTGGACAAGTAACAGACGAATTTCCCTAGGTCTATCACTAACTTGTCTGTATATTGTAAAGCTCGCATTACATCTGTGTATTTTTTCGTGTATTTCTACATGTATTAATGCATGTATAAATTCATGAATTTATGCACGTGATAAGCTGTAAATAGACGGCTAATATTTCCCCTTACAGTCGTGTATTTCTTCATGTAGAAATACACGAAAAAAATACACAGATGTAATGCGGACCTAAGTGATAATCGATAATTCTAATGACCTAAGGAGAGGCACGATTTTTCTAATTTAGATTTCAGTGACTTCACCGAAAACTTTCCATGACGAACAAAAGAACTGGTAGTGCCACATCAGGATAATGCATGCATATTCAACATAGCATGATTAGCTTTGCTCTTTGCTTTGCTACACCTAAATCCGCATAAATGGTGGTGATATTATTGACCCTTCGTTTGTTTCCAACTCCTGTATCAAACAGTAACACATTTTCAATTTGGTTGACGTGCCTTAACATAAAAACATCTGTGTCTAGTGACCTAATTCTGATAGGCAATTTATCTTGACGAGATTGAGAGCATGGAAGCAGTGTAAAATAATTTTGGGTCGGCTTCCTCTTGTGAAGAGCATAGCTCTTCTTTGTACAGTTGAACCGTCTTTGCTAGTAAACAAAGTGCACTGGTGATGAGCTTAAAGATGGAGATGATCAAGAGCTAGTTAACTTTACTGATATAAGTACTACATGAGGACGATGAAGGTGAAGAAGAAACAAGAAACCTATTGATTACAGATGTTGCTGTTTGGAATTTTCTGATTTGTTTGTTTTCATTTATGCTTAAATAATTACGCCACTCGCTCGACTTTAAATAATTAAAATTTTGTGTTTAATTTCAGATTTAGGTAAAAGTAACAAAAATATGGAAAATTTAATTAATAATTTTATTTTCCCGATAAACAAACCATGAAAAACTAAGGGAAGAATTCCTTTACAATATATAGTTTATAAACACCCCTTCTCCACCGAAAAGTTTCATTGAAATGTGAATAAATTTTTAAAAATCCATTTTTCCACATTTCCGCATTTTCGCGGTTTTCCACATTTTTCCGGGTTATGCTGTAATTGGCATGTGGCAAACAGCTAAAACAAACCTTAAACTACATAGCAATACCAACCAAAAAATATGTGACTCAAAAATTGCCACGGGGGGTGGGGAAGGGGGGTGTATACGAGCCTTCGCTCTACAGGAATAACTTTGTTGTTTTAGTTTTTTCAACATCTCGTGAAGTTTCTGTTAATGCTTGTAATGCTTTTTGGATACCTTCTTCTCAGTACTCTGGTTTATGGAGCTCTTGTTTTTCTATTTTCCTCTCCAGGAAATAGGTCCTTAGTGGGGTAGTCTTGTTTCCTATTGGGATTCTCCTCCCAGTACCTAGCAAATATGTCCTCAGTTCCCCTATTCCACCAGTCTATATCAAAACTTTTGAGAATTGCCCTAATCATTTCAAAAATTTTTGAAATCATACTTAGGTACCTAGATCTTCGTAACTTCTAAAGGAACTTTTTGGATTTTGTGGTCATATTATCGTACTCGTTACGTTCTAAACAATGGTACCAATATATCGTTTTTGATAATAGTGCCCTTCTGCATGGTCTAATTTTGTTTTAAAATCCCCAAAATATCAGTTTTCAATACATTAACAAAAAGCTTAGCCCCCCACAGAATTCATTCTGTAGTATAACATACCCGGATTCGTTCAGTAAGATTGAACGGTGTGAATTTTTATTACCTTTTGAACAACAAATCTTCTGAAAAATGAAATGAAAAACAAATAGGACCTACGTTGTGGAAACTTACTCAAATTTAATTACTGGACATGCGCCCGACATAGCATATATTTGGGAAATTTAAGGGAAGTTGTGATATGTAAAAAAAAAACGAAAAATTTGTGAAACGTCTACTTTATTATTAAAGTAAATCGTACCGTTCTCATCCTAACGAGGGGAAAGAGCACGGCAGAGAAACCCTCGATCTAACATTCCTGAAAAATCAAAACATACTGTCATTTTATAATTGTCAATAAATCCATAATTTAAGTCAATGAAATTTTAAATTAGGTACAGTCCCTGTTCTTGTGCTAAAATTTCAATTGCACACACTACATTCAATCAACACTACCTATAATCAATACTGAAGAGTTTTTGGTTAGTTAGCCAGTTTTCCAGCAGCTACTGAGGTCCCATACGGGAAGCTCCTCAGCTATAGTTGTTTTGAGCCAATATCTCTAGATTGATTATTTCAATTTGTTAGGATATTCTCTCGTCAGGGTAGGAAAATGTTAGTAAATTCAACAAGGCACTCTACCATTACTGTTCAGATAAGATGAAATACATTTAAAAAACTTCTTGCTGTCATTCAAGTTTCTTTTCCCTTTAATTCATTCGAAAGCTTCTGGTAATCATTCTTATTTTTTTTTTTTTTTTTTTTTCCTTTTTTAGTTTCACAGGAGTGGATATTATAAGTAGGTTTCCCAATTTTTAACATTTTTAATTTATGGGTTCCTCAGGTTCTCAGATTCCTAGTAAATGAAAATGGTTCATGTACATCTCCTTCTTTTGAGGTTTCCAGGAATAGTTAGGAATAATGCTCTATCAACAGCGTTGCAGGCTTCTTAGAAACATTTCGAAAAGTTTTTCTTCTCCAATTGGCTTTTCAGAAGTAGTTTGTTTTTTTCAATGTCTCCAAGAGCGCTCTGTTTCTGAAGCCTCTGGCTTCTGGTAATCGATCTTGACTCTCTTCTTCAAATTTGATTCTCTCTATTATTTCCATTCTCAGCGAGAGGTAATCATACCACAAATTTACATGTGTTACGTAAAATTTGAGCAAAAAACTCATTCGAAACCAGATTAAGATATCGATACATTCCGATGAAAGCTTGTGAATGTGATTTTTGTCGAATAAAGTTTAGCTACTAACAAGACTGATTTTTTTTTTAGCGAAAGCTGGGACTTTATCGTGAACGTCCTCGAAGCCAAAGACTTGAGCGGAGTAGCCTATAACAACGGATTTCTGGATACGTACGTGAGAGTCTCACTACTGCCTGATAAAGAAGCCACGATCCAGACGAAAGTGTATCGTAGCACTAGCAGTCCCAGTTACAAGGAACGATTTTTGTTTACTTTAAATCCTCGGGAACAAATGCAGGTATAGTTTAACCCTTATTAATTGAAACTTCTTAAAAAAGGCGGCTCAGTTGATCTCTTTGAAGTCACGTGGGAATCCATAGGCGTCTAAATATTATTATCATGACAAATGAAAACAAATTGGTTGATAAAGAATAAACATACTCCAGATATTTCTATAAAAACTGAAATGACGAACGCCATTGCCCAGAAATTCTAGCTGATTTAATTCTAGAATACAGTGGAGTTAATGCATTAAATAAATGGGCAAAATTCATATAGTAGGTAATCCTTAAAATTCCGTTTTAAACTATTGAAATAAATCAAATATAAATATTTGAATGGGAATATTATTCCTTTATTAAAAATTCAAATTTGAAATTGATTTTTATTCAATTATTTGCTTAATTTTATACTTTTGTCCACTTCTAAAGAGAATATCTCACACTGTCAACAAGAGCGGGTCAGCTTTGTCGGCAAGCGATAAAGCCCAGCGGCATCGCCGACAATTTTCAAGTTTTTTTGCCGGCGTGCGGTGTCTTTGTTATAGTGTACCAGGACTAGGCATAAAAATATAAAAAATATTTTATATTATTATAAGGGTTATTTTTCTAATTTTGAGTAGTCACCAAAGAGATGCGATTTTCAATTGATAATGGTAATACTTTAGGAACGGTTATTTCTACGATATTTTCAAGATAGAAGTAAGTAATTGGTGTTTTTGAGTTAGATTGAAAATGTATTTTTTATAGAGAACGTTGTCTCTGCAGTTATACGTCACTGATGTTTTATCCCATACGCTGATTGGCGAGGGTGAATTAAGGTTAACAGATGTTAGTCTAAAACAACCTGTAACTACCTGGGTTTCTTTAACAGATACAGGACAGGTAATAAACTCCACTTGGTAATTAATAATCAAACCAGTACAAACTACTTTTTTTAGAAAGGTACTGAATTTGGTGAAATTATGTTTTCGCTAAGTTACTTGCCCACAGCCGAGAGACTAACAGTGGTAGTGGTGAAAGCTAGAAATTTAAAAATTCAACCTCCATCCCCAATGGAGGTGTTCGTCAAGGTAACTTACCTTATTATGATTCAAAATTTCGATAATGTATAATCATTTGTAGGTATATTTGATGCAGCAAAACAAGAAAATCAACAAAAAGAAAACCTCAACCAAAAAAGGGGAAAGATGTCCGATTTTCAACGAGGCAATGATGTTCAGTGTACCTGCTCATACTTTAAATGTGAGTATTGAGACATAGATATCTGTACCAAACTTAACGATGGTCTGACTGTTCGTTGTCAACTCAAATTAAATTTCAAGAATAAAATGTTCGAAAACTAAATCGCCTTTTCTAACAAACCCGCTATTATTTTCAATTCCAGAGTATTCAGATGAGGTTAACAGTAGCAGAAATGCCTTCAGACGACAACGTTAAAGATACCCCAATAGGCCACGTGATAGTCGGAGGACAGGCCAGCGGAAGATCATTAAGTCATTGGAATCAAATGTTAACTGCACTCAGGAAACCAGTGGCGATGTGGCATTCCCTTCGAAAATAAAACTTCAACACAAATATCTGTTGTGCCTACTATTTCACATAAGCCCTGTTCTGGTCCACTTCAGCTGGATTGATAGCACACTCTTTACATGGACACTGGATTCAATATTTATTGACCATTCTCTAGCTTACAATTCATCTGAAGTGTGTTCCAATTTACCTTTATAATAATCCCGAACTATAGCCCCAAAAAACTATATTTTTACAGAATCTAGAGAAATTGTGTTTGTTGTATAGTTTATGATAATGTTAAAAACTTTGAAAGATTAAGAAACTCAATTTTTTTCGAAGACGTCGAGTGACCACCCTTACCAGGCATTCTCTGCCAGAGATTTGTAAATTCAAGGGTGTTGAATTCAGGGTAAACATTTTTTTTCTGTATATACAAGTAAATACATGTTGGATATATTTCTTAATTGTTTTCGGTTGTCATATTTCTAACTAATAATCAAAAGCCGATTTCGACAATCTATTTTATCAAAAACGCTATATGTATGTGTTTACATATTACCACTCCATGATATTTTTGTGTTTAGTTCTAATAACATATTTACTGGAAAGTGAAAGTAAAATTATCCTTTTTTAAAATATGTACTTACATTTTTTACCTTAAACTTTTATGACAATAATATGTATTTCAAATTCTTATTACAGTATTTCCCTAAACCCTAACCCAAGTCCTATCGCTTTTGTATAATAATGCTGTGATAAATCAAAATTATACTGGGCCCACAAAATTTCTAATCTATCCTAACGTACTGTTTAACAAAAAATAGAGTTATCTTGCAATCATAATTAACCTTTATATGTAATATATCATAATACTGAAACAATTACATCAAGGTATTTTACTTTTTCGCTTTTACTAACGATCCAGCAATGATTGAAATAGGTAGGTACCTATTCGTCTTTCATTCTATGAAGTGAAGTAAAAAGTTTGAAAGTCCTCGTGACGTGAAACAGACAAAAAAACTCTGAAATCACAAAACACTAAAAAAAAAAAAAATACGAAACTGGCGGTAAACCTAAAATGAACTGCTCAAACTAAACATTTTCCAATTACAATGGTGCGGAAAGTGCAGTTTTCTGCACTTATTTGCAAGTGGAAAGAAGAACTTCGCCGCACACTATGCGATAAAGTTCCATTACCGCATAGTGTGCGGTGAAGTAGACTTTGGTATTTATAATCAACTTCCCTTTCAGAAATTTCATTTAAGGATTTCCATTACTCCAGCGCGGGAGTTAAAGATATCATAACTCCCAAGGGAGTTAAGGATTTCCATAACTCCCGCTTTTACCTTGAATAGGTAAAACTTCGACAAAAAATAGAAATTTTGATTTATGATTTATTCATTTATAAAAATAGACAGAATACAGTAAATTCAGTAGGATATAAAATTATCTATGTACCACGGGAATTATCAGGTGTTATTACCCACGGGCAATTGGTGTCCTGGGGTATTAACACCCTCATAATTCCCTTGATACATAAATAACTATTATTTCCTATTGAACTATCATAACCATATAATACTTTGGGTACGATAATCATAAACAGGGTCTTAACTCCCAAGGGAGTTAAGGATATCACAACTCCCAAGGGAGTTAAGGATTTTCATAACTCCCGCTTTTACCTTGAATAGGTGAAATTTTGATAAAAAATTGAAATTTTGGTTTATGGTTTATTCCTTTATAAAAATGGACCAAATACAGTAAATTCAGTAGGAAATCAAATTATCTATGTACCACGGGAATTATCAGGTGGTAATACCAACGGGCAATTGGTGTCCCTCGGGCCGAAGGCCCTCGGGACACAAACTTTGCCCTGGGGCATTAACACCCTCATAGTTCCCTTGATACATAAATAACTATTTTAATTTGTTCTGTTCTCGTTGTTCTGTTCACTTTGTTTCTTTTAAAATCATATCTGCATATTCAAATCTGAAATGCTGCTTAGCTTCTAAGGAGAAGCGACCATATAATTTCTCTTTAGGTACCCTGAATTATTGTGCATCACTTCCACAAGTCATCGTCAGAATTCAGAATCTAAGCAAAATCCAAGATAGGTATCATCCATATTGAGACCAACAATTAAGGACCTACACGTACACCGTACACCTATCAAAATTGAACTGTTCATGAAATGGTTGACAATTTTATTTTAATGGGAGTGGACAACCGTGAAATTAAAAATCGTTGACTTTTGGAAGACTCGCAAATACAGAAGTTGCCAATTTTTCAGTGGAAACGCGCCTCTATGGGGCACGTTACCTGTCAAATCCTACGTTAGCGTAAGCGTGTTTTATCTAACTTAGGCCCAGTTGTACAATCTCGGTTCAAAACAAAGTTCAACTAAACTCGACTGGTACTTGAGCCTTCCCATTCAAAATACATAGACATGTCAGCTATTAATCAAATTCTATCAATTTTGACAGCAATGCATTTCAAATGGGAAAGGTCAAGTACCAGTCGAGTTCAACTGAACTCTGTTTTGAACCAAGATTGTACAACTGGGCCTTAAAGTACCTAATGAAAATTTCAATCAACTTTTGAATGCCACTTGTTAAGTTGGACATCAACCGTACTTTTATTCTTGTCAAACCACGGGCATCGAACAAGGACAAGGAAATGCCCAGCGTGCGAAACGAACACCTCACACCTGTATTAGTTTACCAATAAACATGCATTGCCTCGTAATGCGCGCGCATTCCAGGTTAAAATTGATAGGTTTATTGGCACTCAAACAGGGGGGCTTTATTTGAAATCGATCGCAAATATCTGCGTACACGCAAAGTTGCATCAATTTGTTCGTATACGCAACTCGTTACGTGCGAATAGCTTTATTTGAAATTGACATTGAACGTGTGCATCTATATTTGCGTGCACGCAAAAGATGCACTCGCTCCCTGCGTTGCCAGTTTTCTTTTCACAAAATGTTGAAAATCTACCATATAAAAATGAGTGGATTTTTGGATTTTACGATATTTTGGCTGACAGTGACGTATATTTTACGATGACATTTATTTATTATGATTTTTTGACGTTTTGAGGTTAGAATTTTCTAAATATGTTTCGTGTTTATAAGCAATTTACCACAAAAAATTAATATTATTTCACCAAGCTCTATTCCTGTAGGTAGAAAAAAGAGCTCCGCAAGGCATCTTGTCTAGTTTGTCAGAGAACGCCCCAACTAGGGTTTCCATAAAGGTTTTTCGAAATTCAGGACAAAGGAGTCAAGAAATCCGGACAAAACCCGGACTTCGCCGAAATAGCCATTTATGCAACAAGTGTGTAAAGTGAAAGACAAGTGCGACAAAATTCACAATCGTGAAAAAGAGTTTATTTTACACAATTATTGTATATAAAAAAATTTTACTACCAATAAAATATGTATACTTATGTAAAAAAATAAATTTAGACAAATACTTTACGTAGGTACTAGTACGTAAATCCACATCTGTCATTGACAGTACTCCACTTCACGCAGTGGTGTGTGAAGTGAATTATTTTAAGTACTCATGCGTGAAATAAAATTTTACGTCTTTTGAATAGTGTATAAACTGAGTGAGTACGAGTGTTTTCACGATCTCCAAGTTTTCCGGACATTGTTCCGAATTCCGGCCGGACTTCCCCGGACACCCTAAAAACCCAAACATGTCCGGGTAAATCCGGACGTATGGAAACCCTAGCCCCAACCTTTACCAAAGACTCAAGTAAAAAAATGTGGCACAAGAAGCCTCAGCGGTATTAAATACGGTGCCCGGTGGCAGATGCTCTTCTTGGTGACACCAAATAGCCCTCTATATCATCATAGAAGTCTTCAAAAGTAGCTTTATTTAGCCGAAATTTTTTTACGAAAGCCCGGTCACTTAGGACAAAGGCATAAAATCGCGGCCGTACTGCGAGGTTTTCGTTGAAAGACTTCGCTAGTTCAAGACGAGCTTGCACATTGTTAATAATAATAACGTTATTGAAATTCATATTTATAAAAATCACCACCATATTCGAACCCATTTTAATGAGAATGAACTATCAAAATTAAAATAAATTGACGACATAACTTGCGTGTGCGTAAGTAGACTTGCGATCGATATACCCCCCATGCGCAAAAGTTGCGAGTGGTGCAAAGTCATATCGCTCGCAGTGCATTTCAAATAAGCCGTGCACCAATTGTCAATCGCAAATGACGTTATTTGCGTCTACGCAAAGTTGCATCAATTTCCCAGGGGGTCAATTTTTGACAATATACGTTAAGTTGCGTATTCGAAGATTTGCGAACAAAATAGTTATTTATGTATCAAGGGAATTATGCAGGTGTTAATACCCCAGGGCAACGTTTGCGTCCCGAGGGCCTCCGGCCCGAGGGACACCAATTGCCCGTGGGTATTAACTCCTGATAATTCCCGTGGTACATAGATAATTTTATATCCTACTGAATTTACTGTATTCTGTCTATTTTTATAAAGGAATAAGCCATAAATCAAAATTTCTATTTTTTGTCAAAATGTTACCTATTCAAGGTAAAAGCGGGAGTTATGGAAATCCTTAACTCCCTTGGGAGTTATGATATCCTTAACTCCCTTCCTTAACTCCCTTGGGAGTTAAGACCCTGTTTATGATTATCGTAACCAAGGTATTATATGGTTTTAATAGTTCAGTAGGATATAAACTCATTTTTGACCGGTGTGCGTAAATGGATAAACGTACATATTACAAATCGTAAACATACGTATGGTTGATTTGGCAACGTCGGAAATTTTAGAATGTTTGACAAATTTTTGACATGTTTTTGCCTTTTTGAATTAAGTTTGAAGAATTGTGGATGTTTACGATGGTGGTAAATTATGGAAAAAAGCAGTGACAAAAACTAAAAGAAAAGGGGCGCGAATGCCAGTGAAAAGCAAAGAAAACTTGTGAAGTATGTGAAAAGCAAGCTACAGCTAATCCGGTTGATAGCTACGGCTTGCGAAAAATTTCAACGCAATCAAAACCTATGAGTAGTGCCGCATTAAACTAACTGTATAGCAAACATTGCAAAACAACCTTCTAAATAACATTCATTACCTACTTTAGACAAGATATCTAAATCTGTTGGTCGTTGTGCCGGGACGTGTATGACGTTCTAAACATTCAACCAAATATCTAACAAGCTCTTTCGACAATCAAAACATATTAATAAGGTGTTTATTTGTAATTTGTAGTGCTTTTCTTGCTTCAAGCAGATCTCAGCAGAAGATCGGCGTTCACTTGTCTCATATAAGCTCATAAATAGCAGCTCCTAGCAGATCTTCCTGATTTTTTGAGCAGGTAGAACAAGTACAAATGAACACCCTTTAATAAACTGTCTGTGGGCCGATTTCTCAATAGCAAGTCACCCCCGGGTTAAGCATAACTCCAAGGTCCAAATTACGAATTGCCAGTACATTCATCAAGTTTCATATTATAGTAGAGACACCTTGTAATCAAGAAGACGAGACAATAGAGCACATTATCTGTGACTGCACTGCTCTTTCGCCAATACCAGAGCCAGATTAGGCCAATCGTACCCATCACTAGAAGAGATCAGAGGTACCGCCTTCGGCGACGTCATCGCCTACGTAGATTCGCTAGGCTGGATGACGAGCTAATGATGACCTCTCCCCTCTCCTCTTGTGGAGGCGCACAATGGGCATAATTGTGGCTAAGAGCTGTAGCATACCATATCCCACCCTCCCAGATACAGAGATAGTAGATATAACAATAATCCAATAATAAAATCGCTATCAAACAAACTAACAAACAAAAACAACCTAACATCCCCACTTG